ATTCGGTAACACTTTATTTTAGGGTCCAATTCTCACTATTAACTCATTTTTAACAACGGCTTTTGGCTCAATAAACTCCTAATTTGCTGCTTAGTAATAGTTAGTAGGTAGTTGTTAAGTTTAGGTATGTGGTAGGGTTAAGGGATCTAAAATGTGGTCATGCAGAATAAGGAATTAATATGTGCTTTATAAGTACTAATAAACAGCCAATATGCTAGTAATATGTGTGCTAATAAGCAGCTAGTTAGTGAGAATTGGTCCCTAAACTAAAGTGTTATCAATTATTTGGTAGTAACCAGTCTATTTCAATTAGTCACTAGTACTTATTTTGCTACTAGTCACTATCCCAGCAGTGACAAGTAAGTATATTTTAGTTTCTGTTAACCACTTGCTGTTTTTGTCAACTTAATCTGTGGTTGAAATAATCAATATTTACTTCATACTTCAAATATCAGTTTTACTAGTAACTACTCATTAAGTACTAGTATTTTTTTTAGTTGCGTGTAACTATTTCAATAGTTACGAGTATGCATTGCAAGTGCTTTTTGAACAGATTACAAAAAAAAAAAAAGTATAGACCGACTAAAAAAATCCTTTAGATCAGACGCAGTGTAAAAGTGTCAAGAATCCAGGTACGCTCCGTCCTACTGTGATGTCCTCTGTTAGTGTTTAGTGATTTCTATATTTCTGCAGTAGTTTCTCGCAAGAGAAGGGCCGGTAATATCCAAGGGCATGTCGGGCAGGCAAGGTGCTGAGGCAGACTGCTGCAGACGGGACGGGACATCTACAGCCTGTCTGATGTCTACACCGATGCAGTACGTGAGCGGGATTGGGGGACTCCCTCCAGTCACAACAGTGAAGGTATGAGGGCAAGAGCCGGAGTTCTGGCGACACCTAGTGGTCAAATTCATATCACAAAACGCCGTTTTTGCTTTGATGTATGCATATCTAAACGTATACATGCGTTATTTTTTCTTTTGTGAATAAGTACACATAGCATACCTTTTCTTATTACGGAAATACTATTATTACTATATAATACTAATACTATATTATATATATATATATATATATATATATATATTACATTACTAATATAATGACTATTATTACTATTATGATATAGGCCTATATTATATAATAATAATAAAACCAATAAAACCATACTTAAGGACAAACTAGGCTAAATGTAACGTTTGTAGGGCTGTCAGATCGATTAATCACATCCAAAATAAAAGTCTGTGTTTACATGTAGCCTATATATTTATGTATATAGAAATACACACACATACATGTATTTAAAAATATATTTACATCTCTCTCTCTCTCTCTCTCTCTCTCTCTATATATATACACATTATGTAAACACAGACTTTTATTTCGGATGCAATTAATCACGATTAATCGATTTGACAGCCCCAGTTTCTAGACAATTGCATGTTAATAACAATTAAATGAAAATTTAATGAAATTGTTTTTCCTAATAAAAAACAAAAAACAAAAAAACTTTTAGATATGAGATGACGTACGTAGGCTACACTACAAGTGCACATTCAATACAATTAACAATTGTAATTATTATTATTATTATTAGGCTATTATTATTATCAGAATAGAACCGTATAAGGCAATGATTTTCACGACAAACTGCAACATAACTTAAAAAAAAGTTATTAACCATAACTTGCAATAAAATATAGGCCATAGTTAACATGGCATTTGTTTTTGTGGTCTGATTTTAATGAAATACCGCTATGGCTCGTATTTTCAAGTCACTTGCTTAAACTTCACTTGAGCAAAATGGGACTGTGAATTTTGTTCGCGTTTTTATCTGCAAGGTTGTCACACCCTTATTCGTTTTAAACGCACATCAGCACTGATATGAATTAGGCTATGTTTACTAGAATAAAAATAATCTGTTTCAGTGTCAGATAAGGACGCAACTTTTAGACTTCCCTGGTTGGGTGAATATGCATTTTCCAGCACACATAAACGTGTCTCTGCAAGACATTCATCTCGTCCAACGCAAATATAACGGAGTTCACTCCCATGATGACGCTAGTAACAGGCAGCAACATTTTCTATCCAGTGCTCCTTCTATATGTTATTGTTTGACTTTCCAGGTCGTTCCAGGGGCTTTCCCGTGTGTGGCGTGGCTCCCCAACTTCCGTATGCTGACGTAATTCCATTTGGGAGGAGTAACGTTAAAGTTGACGCACATGGCCTGAACAACAATCAGGGGTGCGTTTCCCAAAAGCAACTATGGTCGCAAGTTCCGTCGTTAACAACAGAATTTAATGGAACTTGCGACCATAGTTAGCTGACGATGCTTTTGGGATTTTTATCCATCTTGCTTGAGTCTCAAACCACCTGCTCATCATCAGTTTCAGTTGTGTTACCGCCAGCTATCGCTAGGGGGCAATGTAACGAACAGAAATATTGAAAACAGATTTACTGACAGAATAATAATAAAAAATAACAATAACTCTCAATGTAATACTCAAATGTTGTAGTACACTTGGGTTATTTTATTTAAATGAACTGCAGCTGATCAGTAAACTACAGTTAGGCGATGTAGGCTATTATTATTATTACATAAAATACTGCAATTGTGTATGTATTTAAAAAGTGACTACTTTAAATGAAATAAATTGAAAACACAATTCACCAAAAAGAAAAATCCCCTTTCAGGATACAGTATTTTAAAGATATTTTTGTAAAATCCAAATAAGCTTTACTGATTTAAATAATTTTCCATACTTGTTTAATGAACCATAAACAATTATTGCACATGCACCTGAGGAAAAGTCCTTTAGACAACAGTTTAAGGCAACTATGGTCGCAAGTTCCGTCGTTAACAACAGAATTTAATGGAACTTGCGACCATAGTTAGCTGACGATGCTTTTGGGATTTTTATCCATCTTGCTTGAGTCTCAAACCACCTGCTCATCATCAGTTTCAGTTGTGTTACCGCCAGCTATCGCTAGGGGGCAATGTAACGAACAGAAATATTGAAAACAGATTTACTGACAGAATAATAATAAAAAATAACAATAACTCTCAATGTAATACTCAAATGTTGTAGTACACTTGGGTTATTTTATTTAAATGAACTGCAGCTGATCAGTAAACTACAGTTAGGCGATGTAGGCTATTATTATTATTACATAAAATACTGCAATTGTGTATGTATTTAAAAAGTGACTACTTTAAATGAAATAAATTGAAAACACAATTCACCAAAAAGAAAAATCCCCTTTCAGGATACAGTATTTTAAAGATATTTTTGTAAAATCCAAATAAGCTTTACTGATTTAAATAATTTTCCATACTTGTTTAATGAACCATAAACAATTATTGCACATGCACCTGAGGAAAAGTCCTTTAGACAACAGTTTAAGGGTGGCAATAAGGTCACAATAACTTATGTTGTTATTATTCAATTTCTGTTCATCAAATGCCCGTGAAACATGTTCATTTTCAGTTGTTTAACTTTTTATGTACATAAATACATAAGTAAAGAAATTTGCTAGAAATAAAAGCAGTTGAACATGAGAGGAGGTTTCTTTATATACTTCTATAGTTTATATATACAGTAAATATACATATAAGTAGCTGTGTCTTTTTTTCTTGTCATTTTATAACTAATTGGTAACTTAACTACAGCAGATAATTGATTATTTGAATTACAGTAATGCTTAATCTCTACTCAAACAAAGTCTTTAGCAAATATTTGATAATGGCTCCTAAAAATAACACCTTTGCTCTAAGCGGATGTGCAAAAGGTTCAGTAAACTTTTTATAAACTTTCCATCTCTTCAACTATGGGTAAAAATATTAAATAATCAGATCAGCCTAATATTGATAAAAGATTCAAGTCACCACAGCAATTCCAAAATATCCAGAAAATGATTTAAAAAAAATAAGGAATTTTAAGATTATTTGATTTTTATTTACACTGTATTTAACTGTAGAAAAAAGAAAAAGGTACTGGTTATTTTCTGCTATGACATTAACTGTTAAGTTTCCGGACATTGCCTGTTCACCCTAAAATACAACACAATGTAAAATACAGGTAAAACACCTTTGAAAAATATGTACAATTTCTTCATATTAACACAGTACTTAGGACCCCATTTTACAGACTTTTTTACAGAGTCTATTATTATGTTTTTTATTTGTCCTTCACTCTTTATCTTTGCAGTAAAACAGGATGAAATCATGAAGTGTGTGTGTTATTCTTTTGACCTTTACACATTAAAGAACTTGATGCAAATCAATAAAAACATTTTGGCATTTCTATTTTGTTTTTTTTTACCAAACTCACCACAAACTTAAGAAATAGACGTTGCCATCCCTCTTTCATTTCTATACAGAGTATGAAAAAAGTGATTTGAATACAGATTGCAAGTAAAAACAACGTTTTCTCATGTTTTGATAAAATAATCAGTTTTCAAACATGAATCACAGGAAATAATCACAAAAACATAATCATTATCAAGTAAACTGCTTTTAATGACTCAATGAAAACTAGATTATACTATGTGCTGAATCAATATTATCTGTCAAGTGACTTTTCTTCTACTCTTTGTGTGCTGATGGGACTGTTAAGGATCTTTGACACTGAAGGGTATTGACTTAACTCCAAAGTGTCATAAAGATCATTATCTTTAGTTATTAAACACAAGAATGGGTATACAGAGACATGTACATGTAATCGGATTCTCAGTCTCTGATAAGACATTAATTATTGCCATGCATAGAGTCCTAGTCACAGCCCTTCTTTACACATTCAGCTGACAGGACATTTTCCCCATCTTCAAGACACACCATGACTCACTGGCCCAGTGGGATGATGTCAAAGTTCGCTACATATACTTACTGCATCCACTCAGAAAGTCCTTATCTCCCACAGCTCCCTGCTGTCGACACCATCAGAGATTCACTCACAGATACCTACTGCTAACCAACAGTGAGGCCACAGGGAGCCCAGGAGATCATGAAGCTGAAGTTGCCGAACCCAGGTCTGGAGGACAGGATCCTGAGCCATGATGAGCTGGAACACCTGGAGGTGGAGGAGGCTGGAGACAGACCCAAGTGGGACAACAAAGCCCAGTACATGCTGACCTGCGTGGGGTTCTGTGTGGGTTTGGGCAACGTCTGGCGCTTCCCATACCTGTGCCAGAGTCATGGAGGAGGTGAGTGCTTGTTTGGGTTTCTGAGGGAATGAATTGTAGTGGATCTGTGCTCTAACCACATAGAGACCTTCATTCCTATCAATTCAGATTAGAGCTGGACCATTATGTGAGATCTACAATAAAAAAATAAAAAATCTGTGAAAATAGGGCACAATATTTTCCGTATTTATTTTTTACAGGTGTTTTTCCTGTATTTTGTAGTAATGAGCTGACAGTACTTTTTCTGTTATTTTACTGATTAATTTCTAACAGTATATAGTACTCCAATGATCCTTATTTTATTTACAACTTTTATTTATTTATTTATTTTAATTTTTTTACAGTGTAAACAAAATAGGTTAAGTTAAATGTATAACAAATGGCTTGAAATAAATGTATACAAAATATGAGGTCACCTTTTATTTTCTTTACATTTTTGTATCTGTATTTTTTTGTTTGTAAGCAGCATTTTTCACATATCTTTATTTATTTTATTTTTCCCCTTCGGCGTAGCTTAACATATCAGATGAAATTAACATTCATTATTGCCATCTCAAAAACTGAATAACATTTTCAATAATATAACTTAATATTATTATTAAAACAATGAAATAATCATAATAATAAAACATTATTATAGTGTATGTATTTTGGAGGGGGGTTTTGCAGCAAGGTAATGATTTGCAGATTTAAATTATTTTAATGTGGCGAATTCATCTTGGCATGTGATCAACAAATGTTTGCATTTTCTACTTTTCAAATGCTTTTTATGCAAATTGTATTATTTCAACCTTGCCCCAGATCCAGAAGTTAAATATTAAACTATGAAAATTCATCATAAAAATATTTAAAAATATATATATTTTTAAACATAGAGTGAAATAGGCATAAACCAGTTCATATTTTGTTGTGTGAAAATTATGTATATCAAATTCTAGACAAATTATGCCCCTCAATTGTGGGGCATAAATGACCAACAATTTTGCCCCTAATAACTATTTTTCAAAAGTTAGTGTACCAAGAGATAAAATACGAGACATTTGATGTGTGAAGTAAATATATATATACTGTATAGTATATATAGAGACAGAACATCATCAAACACAATACTGTAAGTGAGAACTTTCATTTGTTGAGTTAACATCCTCTGTAATGCAATTAAACAAACAAATGAGAATATGAAAAGTTTTAAGAGATTTTTTTCTTTCTAGCTAAAGAAATAAAATAATTAATATAATTCACTAATTTATATTAAAATAATTATATTCAATTATACTAATAATATTAAAATAATAGATTAATTACTTCAATGCAAACAATTATGAGCAACAAATGTATACCTTATAAAAGTTTACAATACTAGAGCTTTCAAAATACTACTAAAGTTATTGCAATAAAACTGCATTAATGTTACTAGTCACTACTCTCATCAAAAATAAAATAATTAAGATTCTGAAAGCTTCTTTGAAGGAGTTCCTGCATTAATCTATTATGGCTTTACAGTACTAACAGTAACTATAGTGACTATGTAGCTATATTCTTTAATATGGTTATAAACTCTGATTACTCTGGTATAAATTTGTGTAAGGGATTTTCTTTTATGGTATGCTATCAAAAAGCGTTGTCTCTTAAAGCCTCTTATTAATTTTCACAGGTTTCCGGTAAGTGCAATAAATGTATGTTACTTTTTTACCACAGACCTCAGCTTGAGGTTAACTAGACAGCGTGGTAAGATCACTTTAAGTGAGAACTCCTCAAGGATCACAGCGTCCCAGCCAACCATTAACTCAACTGCAACGAAAATGGCTGACAATAGCATATGTTCAAGAAATGACTTTGCTCCTTTTAAGTAGCCAAAAAAGAAATAAATAAATAACCCTTAATGGAAATGTACAAATTAATTATTTCAACTGAGTAATTGTATACTATATTTAATATAGCCTACCATTATATACAATCTATTAAAGGGTTAGATCACCCAAACATTTTAATTCTGTCATCATTTACTCACCCTCAAGTTGTTCCAAACCTGTATGAATTTTTTTTCTTCTATTCAACATAAAAGACAATATTTTGAAGAATATGGGTAACCAAACTGTTGATGATCCCCATTGACTTCAATAGTTTGAGTCTTACCTCTCAGATAGGTCCTTCAAGGTATCTTGGAGAGGTGAGGTGTCCAAGTCGCAACATCTAACTACTGGGGTGCCTCAGGGCTCAGTTCTTGGACCACTTCTCTTCTCTGTCTACATGGCATCACTAGGTTCTGTCATTCAGAATCATGGCTTTTCATATCACTGCTATGCTGATGACACTCAACTCTACCTCTCATTCCATCCTGATGATCCGACGATAGCTGCTCACATCTTAGCTTGTCTAACAGACATTTCTTGCTGGATGAAGGACCATCACCTTCAACTCAACTTTGCCAAGACAGAACTGCTTGTGGTTCCATCAAAGCCATCGTTTCATCACAATTTCACCATCCAGTTGGTTGATGGCACATCAACCATAACTCCTTCGAAAACAGCCAGAAACCAGAGTTGTGATTGATGATCAGCTGACTTTCTCAGACCACATTGCTAAAACTGCCCGGTCCCGCAGATTTGCTTTATTCAACATCAAGAAGATCAGGCCCTTTCTTTCGGAACATGCTTATCTTTATTTGACCCTCTAACTGTAGCACTCCCTATTCTAATTCTATTCTTTATGGGGGGAAAAAGCTTGCCCCTTTTAGACTCTATTCATTCAAAAAATCAAAATCTTTTTGTATTATATCTATTTGTTTTCTTTTTATTTATTATAGAATTAACAAAATCAAAAAAGGCCTCTAGCTTACTCTGTTCTTTTTCTATTCTATCTGTTTTATTTTTATTTATTATATAATTAAAAAAAAAAACTTGCTACGTGTACTGCATTAAGCTAACTGAGACTTGTTATAGCACTTGCATATCATTGCTTTCTTGTTGATTTTGATTACTTCCATTGTCCTCATTTGTAAGTCGCTTTGGATAAAAGCATCTACTAAATGACTAAATGTAAATGTAACAGTATGAATAAAAATTTAATTGTATTTAAAGAATTTGCAATTGTATTGATAGATTTTATTTGAGTTTATGACACATTTGTGGTGGAAAACACCAAAACACAAGATGTGAAAAGCATCAATGACATATTACATGCTAATGTAAATAATATTTCTTTTCTTTCAGGGGCTTTCATGATTCCCTTCCTAATCCTGCTGGTTTTTGAGGGAATTCCCCTCCTCCATCTAGAGTTTGCCATTGGTCAGCGGCTAAGAAAAGGAAGCATTGGGGTGTGGAGAACTATTAACCCCTACATGCTAGGTGTTGGTGAGCAAAATATTGAATATTATATTAAGTATAATACAAATAATAGAGATTGTAGGCAAATAAATGGGGTCAGTTTTTTTTTTTTGAAGAAGAAATTAATATTTTTATTCAGTGAGAATGAAATAAATTGAGTAAAGACATCTATACTTTAAATAAATAAATAAAATACTTGGTAACACTTTATTTTAAGGTGTCCTTGTTACACATGTTACATGTACTTACTATATGGTTAGGGTTAGGATTTGGGTTTGGATTAGGGTTACTTGCATGTAATTATGCATAATTACATGCAAGTAACCCTAATCCAAACCCAAATCCTAACCCTAACCATATAGTAAGTACATGTAGTTAATTAATATTACTCAGTACTTATATGTATAATTACACCGTAACAAGGACACCTTAAAATAAAGTGTAACCAAAAACGTCTAAGTAATGTGTCCTTGTTGATTATGTGATCTAAGCAGGTTACTTCCTGTTCTGTTTCAGGTATTGCATCTCTGTGTGTGTCCTTTCTGGTCAGTCTGTACTATAACACCATCATAGCCTGGGTCATGTGGTACTTCTTCAACTCCTTCCAGGAGCCGCTGCCTTGGAGCCAGTGTCCCATCAATGCCAACAGGACAGGTACAGTATATGAGCACCCTGAGAAGGAACTAAATTCTGAATGTGTTTTTTTAAAAATGCCACTATGGACATTTTGTTCATTATTTGGCAGGACTAGTTTCTGAGTGTGAGAGGAGCTCACCTGTGGATTATTTCTGGTATCGTGAGACTCTGAACACCTCAGCGGCCATAGAGGAGACAGGAGGTCTGCAGTGGTGGATGATCCTCTGTCTGATCTCAGCTTGGGGAGTGCTGTATGTCTGCTGCATCCGTGGAATAGAGACGACTGGAAAGGTAGAGCTGCTCAAATAACAGAACTGATGGAAAACAAGAATATTTCAGAATTTGAAGCAGATTTACAGTATATTTACGAATGAAGTCACGTTCATAGCTTTTGTTAATTTGCTAATCCAGTTTTTCAAATGTGAAGGAACTGCAGTTCATGAAATGTAAAATATAAAAATAAAGTTTACAGTGTTTTCACCATCAAAGAAACTCAGTTTACAGTAAACACTGCTTGTTTATTTATTTATTTATCTATTCATTCATTCATTCATTTATTCATAACTAATTATTAGGTCATATGAAACTAAAAATATATGTAAAATATATACTGTCAAATAATATGCAATATATAAATAATACATTTCCATATATGCAAATATATAT